TAAATAATAGAATAAGTTCGATTTAATACTGCTAATTTAATTTTGCTAGCTTAAAAAAAATATGGAAAACATGTACGAAGAACAATGGATAAAATGGGCCGATTTTGACCCATTGTGGAGAACAGACAAAACACATCATTTTCAAAGGATTTTGACCTGCTGAATACGATGCCGTCGTTACTTTTCGTCTAAAACCCGGGGAATATGTTCTAATGTGAGAATCTATTATCCAATAATCGAACGGCCAGGAAAGCTTTTGCGTAAATTTTGAAGCAATTGCAAACTTGTGCATTGGCTAAATTAACTGAAGACAATTTAGATTTTTTATTTAATCTTTTGAAACACAGTGGCACTCTGGAGTTTTCCTTGTTTCATTTTATTATATTTTTCAGGTATAAAACACTCGATTTTCTTGCTGTTTTTTGGGTTTTCATTTGAGTATTATATTATTAAGTATGTTGTAATATGTAATTTTCATAAAATGTTTATGAAATTGTTCATATAAATAGTTAAATGCAAAAAACAGTGTTCATTATATAAAAAATTCGTGTCAGAGAGAACAATTATAGCTATATGGATGACAATTGATACCCTGGGGTTTCGAGATCGCCAATTACGAATCGGAGGTCAGAATTGCGAAATTCAAAATGGCGGATCCAATATGGTGGATAAAAATGTTAAAAATCCTTCGATTTCGACAGAAACAGATACATGGAGGTTTTCTGGATCGCTAACCACGAATTTATTATCAGATTTCCGAAATTCAAAATAGCGGATCCAATATGGCGGATAACAATTTTCAAAATTCTTCGATTTCAACAGAAATAGGTACATGGGGATTTTTGAGTGGCTGATAATGCATTTGTTATTAGATTTCCGAAATTCAAGATGGTGGATCCAATATGGTGGATAAAAATTTTCAAAATTAAAAATAGAATTTTCTCAAAACAGTATGGAAATAATTTATAGTTAGTCAATAAACACGCGAATTGAAAAACTCAATAATTTTTTGCTATGACAAATTTCGATAATCACCAAATCAAATTAGAAAAAACTTTATCGCGGATTGTTTTATACTTTCGGAAAAAGTTCAATATCAGATTCGATATATAGAAATCAATAAGTTTTCATTTCGAATAATATTGAGAAAATAATATTTTACAGTGAATAAATTCTAACAAATGGATCTTCCATGAATTATATTAGAAATATCTCTATGTATACGGAAGCAAGGTTCAAATAATCTTCAAAATATTCGTTTTTAATAAAATTGAATATGTTTTTACATGCAATTTGGATTCAAAATTTTAAAGATTCGAGTTTACTGACCCAAAAAATTCTATATACTTTTTCTCACAAAGATAGCAAAATTTTAAGGAAACTTGTTCGCCATATTGGATCCGCCATTTAAAATTTTTTAACTTCGACTCTATATTTATTATCTATATATGTTATCTAAATTTGTTATATATCTTTTTGTTATATATCTATTTGTTATATATCTATATTTGTTATTTATATATGTGATCGAAAAAACTATATACTGAGTTTGATATCTATAATATCATATCAAAGTTAGCCATTTGAAGTCGCCATATTTAATCCGCCATTTTGAATTTAAAATTTTGACTCCGGATTCGTAATCAGCGACCCAGAAAACCCCTATATACATAATCGGGTTCTTTTATTACTTTTTTTATTATTACATAGAAAAATTCGTGCTTCAAAGGGTTAATAGAATTATTTTCGATTTAATAGTTGAAGGTGTTCTCCTTCTATGCAAAATTTACTGTGACAAACAATATACACGGTGTCACAGACCATGTGTACCACCCGATTTTTTTGTAAACATGACATTCTAGAGAAAAATATTTCAGACAAAAGTTATATGGTTTCAAAGGAGACCTTAAGGTAAGAATACATGATATAAGAACATATGATAGACATATAATATCATTTTGTTTACAGCATTTTCAAGATATTCACTGATCATTACTTTTCTTAAGTGGAAACCCGAATTTTTTATTATATCATCTTTTTCTATCAATTAATTTTAACAACTCTTGTCTGAAACATTTTTTTATTTACCTAATACGTTTTAAGATATTTAAGAAAAATTCGGTAACTTTTAAATATTTAACTTACGATATCTCGCTAACTATTCGTCGGAAGAAAAAAGAGTACTAAACTTTTTACTTTACTTGGTCTTAAGAATATATTGTTACAATAATGCCCTACCTTTTGTTGATTTATCGACCTTTAGAAATTTCAAACTCATCAAATTAACAAAGGTCAGAGCACAATTATAACAATATATTCTTAAAACCAAATAGAATGAAAAAATTTGGTACCATTTTTATTCCAATAAGCAGCGAGATATCTTAAGTTAAATATTGAAAAAGTTACTGAGATTTCATTAAATATCTCAGAAAATGTTTCTGCTCTATTTAATCTCAAGAATATATTGTTATAAGAACATATTGTTACAAGAATATATTGTTATAGCACCCTGACTTTTGTTAACTTACTGACTTTTGGAAATTTCAAAATCATCAAATTAACAAAAGTCAGGGCACTATTGTAACAATATATTCTTAAGACCAAATAGAGCAAAAAAGTCTGGTATCACTTTTCCTTCTGACATACGAGGGCGGTCCGATAAGTACTTAGCCTCACCGCCCGATGGCGCCACTATCGCAAGAGAAATTTACTATCGTGTAGTACATTCTCGTAGACGGCTACTGTCGAAATTTCAGCCGAATCGGACTCGTAGTTTTGTTTTGACCGCGTGTGGAAGCGGGCGTGTCCGCGGATTTTAGAAAAATGGAAAAAGAGCAATATCGGTCGGTGATTCGATTCTTGTTTTTGGAAGGGAAATTGCGCAGCGAAATCAAAGAGCGCTTGAATGCTGTGTACGGTGACTCTTCTCCTTCGATGGCGACCGTAAAAAATTGGTTTAACGAGTTTCAACGTGGTCGCACGTCGGTTTTTGATGAGCCACGCCCAGGTGCCCCGAAAACGGCTACCACGGAGGATAACATGACAAAAATCCACGATCTCGTATTGGCAGACCGCCGATTGAAGGTGCGCGAGATAGCTGAGACAGTAGGCATCTCAAAAGACCGCGTGGGTCATATCCTGCATGAAATTTTGGGCATGAGAAAGCTGTCGGCGCGATGGGTGCCGCGTTTGCTCACTCCGGACAACAAGCGCAACCGTGAGACCACTTCAGAGCAGTTTGACGCTGTTTAAGCGCAATCCGAAGGAGTTTCTGCGTCGTTTCGTGACCGTCGACGAAACATGGATCCACTGGTACACACCAGAGACCAAGGAACAGTCGAAACAGTGCACTTCACCCGGCGAACGTGCTCCGAAGAAGGCGAAGATTGTCCTATCGGCCGGAAAGGTGATGGCCACCGTTTTCTGGGATTCACAAGGTGTGATCTACATCGACTACCTGGAGAAGGGCAAAACGGTCACAGGGCTGTACTATGCCGAATTATTGGGCCGATTCGACGCCGAATTGCAGAAAAAACGGCCCCATTTGGCGAAGAAAAAAGTGCTCTTCCACCATGACAACGCATCGGCTCGCACCTCCGCCCTCGCCACGGTCAAATTGGTCGAATTGGGCTACGAACTGCTGCCCCATCCACCGTATTCTCCAGATTTGGCTCCGTGCGACTTCTTTTTGTTTCCAAACTTGAAAAAGTCACTCGCCGGGCAGAAATTTGAGTCGAATAAGGAGGTCATCGCCGCCACGGAGGCCTACTTTGCAGACCTCGAGAAAACGTATTTTTCAGACGAGTTAAAGAAGTTGGAGCATTGCTGGGTCAAGTGTATCGAGCTAAAAGGAGACTATGTTGAGAAATAAATCCTCACTTTTCCAAAATTTTCGTTTTTCTTTTGTAGGCTAAGTACTTATCGGACCACCCTCGTATAGTTAGAGATATCGTGAGTTAAATATTGAGAAAGTTATCAAATTTTCTTTAAATATCTAAAAAAATATTAGGCAAATAAAAAAATTTTTTAGACAAAAGTTGTTCAAATTAGTTGGTAGAAAAAGATGATATAATTAATAATAAATTAGGGTTTCCATTTGAAAGTTTCGAGTTGAGCTTTAAATAATCTTGAAAATTGGACCCAAAGTTAAGTCCAAGGGCACGATCAAGTTCATCAGTTAGAATACTGAAACTGAGATATTGTGAGTTAAATATTGAGAATGTTATTAAGTTTTCCTTAAATATCTCAAAAAATATTAGGCAAATAAAAGAATGTTTAAGGCAAAAGTTGTTAAAATTAATTCTTAGAAAGAGATGATATAATAAAAAATTTAGGTTTCCATTTAAGAAAAGTAATGATCAGATATTTAATTAAATATTTCGATAGTGGTGCCATTTGTAAATAAAATAGTATAGTTGTTTTATGTTTCCATTAAAATCGTACAATTATTGTCTAAAATATTTTTCCTTAAAACGTCGCGTTTATAAAAAAATTGTGTGGTACTGGTGGTCTGTGACATCGTGTATAGTATTTGTTACAGTAAATTTTACATAAAAAGAGGAGACCTTTAACTATTAAATCGAAAATAATTTTATTAAATTGGAAATTTAAACTGTCTTCAGCTAATTTAGCTAGTACACGAATTTGCAGTAGCTTCAATATTTATGCAAAGGCTTCTCGGGTAATTCAATTATTGGATGATAGATCCTTAGATTAGAACATGTTCCCCGGGTTTTAGACGAAAACTAACGACGGCATCATGTTCAGTGAGTTAAATGCTCTGGAAATAATGTGTTTTGCCCATTCCCCACGATGGGCCAAAATCGACCCTTTTTACCCATTATTCTTTGCTAGATCTTTTGTTTCTCTGTTGTGTTACATTTTCCAGGATTTCCTTTTTTGTACTCATATGGATAATTACATTATGTAAATGTTTTATTTCTATTAATGTATTCCATTTCCTAAATATTTTGATTCAACATCTTAATATTTTTCTTTAGCTTGAGAAGATGGTATTGCCGAGATCTGACATAAGACCTAAAGGCATGTCGGAAAGTTTATTGGATGATCATTTTCTCACTGGAAATCTACCACCTGTGCCACCACCGCCACTAAACTATTCTATATCTACTACCCGTGTTTCAGGTATGAAATATATTAAAATTCTTTACTATTATTTTTATAAGCTTTAGTTTTATCATATAGCTGTTCTAATTAATAAATTATAATAAATTATATTTTCATACATAATATCATAAGTATTAGTACAGGAGGTAGATTGGTTGTAGTTCACTTTTTTAAGATGAATAATATGCCATGAATAATATGATATCATGAATAGATTACATAACATTATGTCTATGTCACGAGGAAAGGAGGGTAATCAAAAATTACATATTTATGAATCAAAATTAAATATTTATTAATCAAAAATTAAATATTTATCAGTATTTACCTCCCCTCCTCGCGGAACTTCAATCTATTCACATGAATTCTTTCTAGAATATTCTAAAATGTGTCCGAGGCTATTCGGAGAGGACAAATTTTTCCAGATAAAATTTCATCAAATATTCGAGCTGAACTTCATCGTGTTTGTCAACATATCTTTCCAAGCTATATAGCATCCAGCTATAATGATAAAAGATAATTTTTTATTTATGATAAACACATTATCCGATCTGTCAAGCTAGATTTTTTAATTATTAGAACTATTAGTCTGTTACGGTTTAAAATCATTCCATATCTTCGTAAATAGTTTTTCAAAGATTGGACGAGAAGACAGTAAAAGATGAAAGAAACATTTGTATATTTAATATTTATATACAGGGCGTTAGAAAAGTCTGGAAACGGTCAAATATCTCGAAAAGGAAATGTTTCTGAGAAAAATGTTTCCAACCAAAATTATAGGGTTTTAAAAGTTCTAATGAATGATTATATCCGTTTGACCTTCAGTGAAAGGGTCAAGGCAAAGTCAAGGCCAACATAATTTTTTCAACAGGACATCCCATTTTTATCACACAGTGTTAAAATGACAGTGCGATGTTTCCAAACCACTACTTGATGCCCATTTTTCTTGAGAATTGTCTGAGTTATGAGCTTTAGAATTTACCGTGCTGCCAGCATTAGTATTATCCAGGATGTATCGCGTGGAGCTTGCATGATCGGACTTTAAACCCTTCTGCATGTGTGTATGGGTGTGTGTGTGTCTCAGCAGAGATAAGGACCCCGCGGTTTATCACTCCCGCCGTATTTAATGACACCCTCTCTGCAGTGTGTGTGTGTGTATGTGTAGACAGGTTTTTACTGAATTAAGCGTTCAAATTATCTTCCATCTGCTGCTTGATAATGACCTAATCGTAGATGAAATTTATATAAAACGTTTCGTTTCATTTCTGGTGAAATAAGATTTAGTTGGTGCAGTATGCGTTCCCTATGGTCTGCCAAGTTAGCAGGTTTCGTTGCGTACACATTGTTTTTAATACATCCCCATAAAAAGTAGTCCAATGGAGAAAGATCTGGCGATCTAGAGGGCCACTCTATTTCTCCACATCTTTCTATTCATCGGTTTGGGATAGTATCAGTTAAAAATTGACGCACTACTACTGCATAGTGTGGCGGTGCACCATTTTGTAGAAACCAAATATTTTGTATATTTCCATCAAACAAATTGTCAATAGCAGGAACTATTTGATTTCGCAGTAAATCTAGATAAGTGTTCGCATTTAAATTTCCTTCGATAAAGAAGGGCCCGATCATACCACATTCACAAAAACCCGTTCAGTTTTTGAGATTACTATGTGTGAAGTTCACGCATCCAATGAGGGTTCTCGTCACTCCAATAGCGGCAATTTTGACGATTTACCGTTCCATTTAATTCGAAAGAAAATCCATGGGAAAAATGATATTATCAAGAAAAGTGTTATCATTATCGCATCGACGCATCATTTCATCGCAAAACTCATTTCTTCTATCGAAATCACATTCTGCCAGCTCCTGAATAAATTTTATTTTGAAAGAATGCCATTTTTCTTTCATTACAATTTTATGAATAGAAAATATACTAACTTCAGTCGCTTGTGCTACCTTCCTTATTGAAGAATTAGGATTTTTTATAAATGATTGCATCACATCCAAACTTTTATCGAAATATGTCGGTGATTTTGGTCTACCACTCCACGAGCGGTCCTTAACAGATCCCGTTTTTTTTAATCGTCTGACAGTTTTTTGACCGTAGACTTTGAAATTGGTTCACATCTGCATAAGTATCGTTAAACAAAGTCGCTATTTGTTCAAAGGACCTAACGCGGTCACCATATCCTCGCATCAACAATATTGTAATTGTTTCCCTTCCAGTCAATACCATTTTGGCGATTACCGAAGGTAATTTTTTATTTTGCAAAAGAAATTGCCTTGACTTGATATACGTACGAACAAGTAATTTGTTACTTGTATGGCGAATATGATCTGCGTTTAGTATCTAGCATTTAATAAATTTTCTTCGATAAAGAAGGATCTGATAACCAAAAACCCGTTGACATGTTTTTTTGGGGATACTACATGTAGAGATCACATATGTGTTACCTTCCTTATCGAAGAATAAAGATGAGTTCCTACAAATGATTTGTAAGTCTAATGACAATTCACAAATAATTAATTACAATGTGTACGCAACGAAACTTGCTAACTTGGCAGACCTTAGGGAACGCATACTGCACCAAGTGAATATTATCTCACCAGAAATGAGACGAAACGTTTTAAATGAATTTCATTTACGATTAGGTCATTGTCAAGTAGCAGAAGGAGGACAATTTGAACACTTAATTCAGTAAAAACCCCTCTACATATACATGCACGCGCGCGCGCGCGCACACACACATACACATACACACACACGCGCGCGCGCACAGCAGAGAGGGTTTGGAGTCATTAAATACCGCGAGAATGACGGGGTCCTTATCTCTGCTGACACACACGCACACACATACACACGCGCGCGCGCGCACACACACACTCACACACGCGCGCGTGCACACACACATACACACACACAGGGATATAAAGTCCGATCATGCAATCTCCATGCGGTACATCCTGGATAATACTAATGCTGGCGGCACCGTAAATTCTAAAGTTCACAACTCTCAACAATAGATAATTCTCAACAAATAAATGTCATCAAGTAGTGTTTTGGAAACGTCTCGTTGTTATCTTTAACACTGTGTAATAAAAAGTGGGGTATCCCATTGAAAAAAATCATGTTGACCTTGAATTCGCCTTGACCCCTCCACTCAAAGCCAAATGAATGTTTATTCAGTAGAACTTTCAAGACCCTAAAATCTGGTTAGAAACATTTTTTTCAACACCGTTTCGTTTTCGAAATATTTGACCGTTTCCAGACTTTTTTAACACCCTATATGTATATTGAAACTTTCGACAAACTTTTGTGATTACTAATTAAATATGTTCAGTACATTTCGTAAAGCACAAATTTTCATGTATTAGGTTGGCAAATAAGTTCGTTCGGTTTTTGTTTCAGTGTAAATTTCACGCGGATTCGCTTTTATTTTCTCAGCGCTATGGTGCAAATCGAATACACATTTGAAAGGTTATGTTTCATTGTTTATGTTGTGCTGTGTCTGGTTTGACTAACATCAGTATTATGTGTGCTGCGTAGCTGTGAACATGGAAATAAATAACGTGCATTTTCGTCACATTTTGCTCTATTATTTTAAAAAGGCAAATGAGCTGCGGATGCTCATAAAAAGTTATGCCGTGTGTATGGAGATGATGCCTTAACAGAACGCATATGACAAAAGTGGTATGCCAATTTCCGTTCTGGAGATTTCGACATTAATGATGCGCCCCGCTCCGGTCGCCCGACCGAGATTAATTCAAGTGACATTAAGACTATAATCGAAGTAAATCCATCCCAGTCGGTATGAGAGATTGCTGCGACATTGAATACATCCCACACAAGCGTAGAAAAGCATTTGCGCTGGCTGGGATACGTTTCTTGGCTCAATGTTTGGGTGCCACATCAATGAACCGAGACTAACTTGACCACACGCATATCCATCTGCAATTCGCTACGGAGACGCCAAGAAAACGACCCATTTTTTAAATGACGGGTGATGAAAAATGGGTGGTCTACGATAATGTAACGCGTAAAAGATCATGGGGGCATAGCAGCCAACCACCGCAAACAACCTTGAAGGCGGGATTGCATCCGAAGAAAATAATGCTCTCCGTATGGTGGGATTTCAAGGGTGTCATCTATTACGAACTGTTACCGTCAGGCAAAACGATTGATTCAACTATTATTTGCAATTGACTAAATTGAACCAAGCAATCCGCACAAAACGTCCAGAATTAGAAAATCGCAAGGGTGTTGTTTTCCATTACGATAACACCAGACTTCGTACGTCATTGACTACTCGAAACAAATTGCTCCAGCTAGGCTGGGGTGTTTTACCTTATCCTCCGTATTCACCAGATCTTGCCCCTTCCGATTATCATTTATTCCGGTCGCTGCAGAACTCTATGAACGGGAAAACCTTCAAGGATGAAGAGGCCGTTAAAAACTATCTGGATTGGTTTTTCGCCGATAAGCCCCAGACGTTTTACAAATGCGGCATAATGAAGTTGGTGGAAAGATGGCTAGAGGTCATCGATAAAGATGGCCAATATATAATTAATTAATATTTATCTTGTTATTTATCAAAAAATTGTGTTTTATTCTACTCTAAAAAACCGAACGAACTTATTTGCCAACCCAATAATTATTACATCGAAAAGTATTATTAAATTTTTCCAGAGAAGACATAAGTAAGAATCTAAGGCCAGTTCTAACCCAAAACGCTAACAAGGAAAGTTAGGGAGCACGGAAATTGAAAGAATTCTGAAACTTTGTGTGAAAGTAAAGTAGTTCATCCGTAATGCAAAACAATTTTTTGTTCGTGCGGAATTTCATTCTGATGAAGTGAAACCACCTTTCAAAAAAAAACCATTTTCATTTTTAGCGTATATCTTCTAAAGTACGAGGCATATGTAAAAATAATTTGTATGAAAGTTGTAGTGTAATTTAAACTCTTTGCAACTGTGCATTCAGATGTTGCAAAATTGGACAATTTTTGAAATCTTTTCCT